TCCCACACCCTCCTCACCACCAATTTGGATCACTTGTTGTTCCCTTGTCTCTGGGTTTGTTAACACAACTTCCTTTCACTCCACCTCTCCCTCTCCCATGTCCCCCCGGAACTGTTGGTCCCATTGTCTTCTCCAGATTGTTTCATCCAGCCTATCTTATTTAGACAGACAAGAGGTCAGTTCTTAAGGACACTTGGTTATAAGGAAAACAGAACATCTTTAGGTCAAGGGTGGCAAAGTCTGGTTCCAGGGCCATATAAGGTCCTCACAATCATGAATATCCGCTGCTAACATCATAGGGCGCTAACACCAAGAAGCAGTCCCAGTCGCTACATTTCAAAACCAAATTCACAGCCCTATAGCCAATTCTGACTCTTACCCATCCTATGGAACAGGGCCAAATGGATCTTGTGGGATTCTGGGACTCTACTGGAATAGAAAGCCTCAATTTTCTCCCGCAGAGTGGCTGGTGGTTTCCAACTGCTGACCAATGCGGTTAGTATGTAAGCCACCGCTCCACCAGGGCTCCTCAGCCATCACAGCAGGGCTAAGTTAATTAAATACTTGACCAGGATGGCCTGCGAAGGATGTTGTAAATATACACATGGTCTTTTGCAGAAAAAAAAGGTTCCTACCGCTGTCTTAGATTAAGATGGCATCACCAAGGAAGGGAGAGCTGTGCTGAACTTGGACGACATGTTAGAGGTAGAAAATAAAGGTTTCGTGGATGTTGGATGTGAGAATATGAAGAAAACATACTAAAAAATGGCTCTTAAGTTCTTGCTTTAAAAGTTGGGTGAATGAGTCTGCTTAAATCAAGTTTGTTGGTTTCATGAGAACTAGGTACCTCTTCATATAGCATGTACACTGAGGGGGATCAGCAGACAAGGAGACGTGAATGATGAAGCCAAGAAGATAATCATAGGAGGGAATTCTGAAAAGGCAAGAGGGGTGGAACCCAACGGGTGGCACTATGCAGTTGAAACAGGGCGCATGGGAAGATCCTGACGAAGATTTGAGTACCCACCATGGGTAAGAAAGTTGGGGCGATGCTCATCAGATATTAATGCTCAGGTGAATCCCCTGGGAATCTTATTAAAATGCAGATTGTGATTCAGTAGAGCCAGGCTGAAATCTGAGATGGCGCGTTCCTCACCAACTTCCAAATCATGCTGATGGGGAATCCTTGTACCTTTTGAATAGTAACAATTAGCAATAAAGTAAGCGATGGAAACTAAACTTTCAAGTCTAGAAAAATGTCTAGAAATGGGAGTATCAGGGATCTTGGAGAAACAGAGAAACTTGATTTAAGACTGAAATTTGACAGGCTATCTGTTTGCAAACACTTGTAAGAGATTGGGGTTTTTATGCTTCGTACTTAGTCCTGCACACGTCCAGACAGGAGCTGAGGTTTGTTTGGTAAATAGGAATAAAAAATAGGGCATTATCTGTAGGCTGAAACTTGAGATCAATAGCTACTTCCCTAAGGAATAAGCAAAGCAAGAGGCCAGCCATTGATTGTGGCTGTTGTGTGCAGTGGGTAGAATGGGGCTGCCCACAGGCAGGGTTTTCTAGACTGTAGTATCTTGTTTTTATTTCCTTTGTCTTAAAACGGAGGAGCCCTGGTGATGGCGTAGAGGTTATGTGTTGGCCTGTTAACTTCAGGGTTGGCAGTTCAAAACCACCAGTGCCTCTGTGGGAGAAAGACCAACTCAAACCAAACTCACCATCCAGTTGATGCCGACTCATAGCGACCCTTCTGTGGGTTTCCAGGACAGTAAATATTTGCCAAAGTAGAAAGCCTCGTTTTGCTCCTGCGGAGCAGTGGTTGGTTGGCAGCCCAATACATAATCACTACACCACCACAGAGGAAGATGGGACTATTCCCAGAACCAGAAACTCGCAGGGGCAGTTCTACCCTGTCCTACAGGGCCACTATGATTCATTCACTGGTTTTCTGTCTTAAAGCAACAAGTAAACCTCTTGTTACCCAGTTGATTCCAACTCTTAATGGCCTTTGGAGTCTCTGACTTATGTTGAATTCAAGTTTCCAAGAACCATACTTCAGACCATTTTTCAGTTTTAAATATCTTATTACTACTCATATCTACTACAGAACATGTTGCAATGTCTAATTTGGTAGTGCTATTCTCATGCCAGACTCCAAAGACAAAAAAAAAATTATAAAGTTATTGATAAAAAATAGTAATAATTAAAACTAAAACAAAACAAAAGGTGTTCTACTTATGCCAGAACTGACCTACAATGGGCACAGGAATAAAAAAATCCCTGTCATAAGTCGGGAACTCCCTGTAACTAACAACAAACACTTGTATTGT